GGGGGGGAGGAAGTGGGGTTTTTATTTATCTTCCTGCGTATAAAAATAACAAAGTTACAGTAACCGCAGCGTTACGGTAATCACAGCATATGAATGGCTATAATTTCATTTCAGGAGTCGTCGTACTTGAGACTCAGAGGCGTTCCACCGGTGGATTCCTCCTGCGTCTTAGCTAATTCCATCAACGCCAGAGCACCTAGCCATTTCTTATTGTCCTGTATCGGTAACTCAATCGCATCGCTCTCCTGCTTCACGACCTTCACCTCCGCTGTCTGAACGTCCATCGTAGGCAGTTTCGGAGTGACCTCCCTCTCTTTGCCGTTGACGCTACTCGAACTTCCGGCTAACATCAGCACCGTCGGTCTGGTCTCGTTTTCATTCATGTGAGGCTTAGCCAGTTCTTGGTGGCTGTATTGCTTGATGTCGCCAGGCCGATGATCCAGCCTGGACTGTATCTCCGCATCGGCCCGTCTTTCGACACCGTCTTCGAACTTGTACAGATCCTGCAAATTTTGCAGCAGAATCGAGCTGCTCAACGAGTCCGACCAGGGCGATTGGTTTAGGACGTGCGCGACGTCGTACGTGTTCTCCTGCTTGATCGCCACCGCCTTTGGAGATTCCTTGTTCAGATTCATATCGCAGAGATAGGGGACGCAAGGGGAGGCGTAGGAAGTGGTGTCCGATGAAGCGTTCGTCGGCTCTGCCGGTTCGTTGTGCGCGTTCAGCGTGATGTTCCACCGCAGTTCGGCCGATTCAGCCGTGCAATCGTTGAACGAATGCTTCTCGTCGATCTTATATATGGACGTTACGTCGGACTTGACGTCCCAGTTCAGCGGCTTCGCTAGCTGCTGCTCCAGGCAGGCCTCCCTGAGCCATCGCTTCTTTGGTTGTAGTCTGTCCAAGGATGTGTTAAGCGGTGCGATCACCGACTTGACCGCCGGCACTTCCTCGTCCTCGGACATCTGGAGCATCGCGCACGGCTCCGTCGTGTCCTCGTCCTGGCTCTCCTCCTGACTGTCGTGACTTTCTCCGCAGTACAGCCGTTGATTGGGCGGCTTGCGGTCGAGGTTCTCCTGCTCGCCCGCTGTGTCCATCATCAGGCCTTTCCTCGACTTTATCCTCCTGTGGTTCTCGACTGTACTCTTCCACGTCTTCTTCCGCTCGTTCTTCCCGGTCGGTGTCCTGTCCTCCCGCTCCCTCGACATCTTGTAACGCTCTAACCATCGAGTGACGTCATGCGGTAATTCCGTGTTCTCGGAAACCGGCTTCAGAACGAAATCGTCCGATCTTGTGAGCGTGGCGTAAGGATGCTCGGGGCAGTGTCGGTTGGCATGGGTGAATCTCATTTCACAGCCCGGCTCGGTGCATAAGAACGGCTTCTCCCCCGTGTGCAGCCGTTGGTGAGTCTTCAACTGTCCTGACTGGGTGAAGGCCTTTGTACAGCCAGGGTAGTCGCATGGATACGGGCGTTCTCCTGAAACCACCAAACCATATTTCAGATTCACCTCTCATTATATTCCACGGTTGATCAAAACTATCCTATTCATCCGAGATCTGTTCTTTTTAGCTGAACTTTAGATCGTACATTTTGCTTGCGTTAGATGGTCTGTCCTTTATAGCTGCACTGCTGAATTAATGCAATAAGTTGAAGTGAGGCAAGTATATTACGTCTCGCTCTAATTTATTGCATCAGTCCAGCAGTGCAGCTATAAAGAACAGAACCAAAAGTGAAACAAGTACATAAACCTAGCGACGCAGAGAAAAGGAACAAAGTTCCAGTGCCAGTATTGGTTCAGCTAAAAAAAAAATTAAAAGAAAATAGACCTCTATTAAATCTCCGTCAGTCGCAATATCTAATAGATATACGTTCAAGCTACGGATGTATCGCTGTTGCTACACAGCCTCAAGACCGAACTCGTCCTTGTCAATGTCTTTTCTTTGTTCTCTTTGTTCTTCGCTGTGTTTTTAGGTTCTTCAGTGTCTAGTCAGTTAAATATTGATGAAAGAAAAATTGCTTCAAGAAGCAGAGGGAAATTAGCGTATCTGTGAGACACATGCGACCACACGTGAGTGAAAAATATTGCGACCAGCGGAGGGCCAAAGTTTCACTCAAGAATTTACTCAATGTGTACAAACATAATAATATTTCTATTCGCTTATTATTCACGTAAAACAACAAAATAACCTGCTCGGCTCATTCTAATAGTATTGTCATTCAATTATTTTCGAACTTTCGACACAGACAAAATACGATTAATATACAGCACGGTCCTTCAATAACAATGGAACACAACGCGACTATTGTGACGCTGTCTGACATTTCGGAATTTAGACCTGCAATTTCTTTCCCTCTCCCTCTCTCTCACCGGCCTAATTGCGAAAACACCAAGGAGGAAATACAACGAGAAACAACCCACTGACGACACTCACATTTTCGGGGGAGGCGGCATCTTTCGACGCGACGCCGGCAGCGTAACGCGGAAACGCGGCGCGCATCCTTCTTTTGTTGTCCACGGACAAAGAGCGTGCGACTCGGTATCGTAACGGACCGACGAGGAACGCGTACACACACACTCGGTGTCTCCCTCCCACCCTTCCTTTCTCTCACCCCGGCGACCGATTAAAGTCCTCCAACGACTCGGTGCGCGCGATCGTGCGGTATCGTCGTTACGTGCGCGCCTGCCTGTAATTTCGCGCGCGCAACAGGCGAGCCTCGCGCCGATGCGTACATACATACGTACCGTAACGTAACGTGCGTGCGTAACGCGACTCGGGCCATTTAAGTATTTAAAGCGCGGCATGATGGCGATTGGCGGGACGCGCGCGCGCGAGGTAGTGTGAGTGAGCGCGCGCGAGACTCGCGTGTAACCGTCGCGCGGGGTTTTCTCGCGATCGTTGAATAGAATCGCGCGCGGTTTCGCCGGCCGAAGCGCGAGCGGCGCGCACCGCCTCGCTCGACGACGGGAGCCGCTGGTGCGCGGCAACTCACCTGTGTGGGTACGCAGATGCGCCTGTAGGCTCTTCTCGCGCGGGAATACCCGGTTGCAGTAGGTGCACTTGATGCTGCTCGGCGACGTGCTACCCTGCATCATGAGATTCGTGAGAGCGTCGGCGCGCGGCCGACCCCGCCGGTGACTCTCCGCCGCGGTGGAGTGCTTGGTGTCGGCCCGCCTGCCCGCCGCCACCCCGTGCTCCCTGTACTCTGGCGAGGAGCACGAGCTGCCCGGGCTCAGGTTCACGTTGCGCGCCTCTTCGCTCCAGTTCCACGGGTAGAGGGTCGTGTCGCCCATCGGCGGGCTGCAGGCTAACACCTCCGCCGGTGGACGCGAGGCCCGCTTCGGCGTGTGCGATTCCATGCCGCCACCCGCACGCCGTCGTAGCCTCTCTCTCTCTTTCACGTTCGCCGCGCGCGACACCACCTCTCTCTCTCTCACACGATCCCGGACACCTTGTGTCGCGACCACTACACGACGCGATACACACGACCACGGCAACTGCCGCTGGCGGCCAACTGATGCGCGCGACCTCTTTGCCGCCGCGCGGTATGTGTACGCGTGCCGCGTGCAACTAATAAACCGCCAAAATACACGGGGACGCATGGGAACGGTGAGAAGGAGCGACGCGTGCGCGTCGGTCGTTGGCGTGCCGATCGACGCGCCGCCGCGGTAACACCGGGCGTCTCTCTCTCTCTCTTTTTCTCTCCCCCGGATTGCGTTCGGAAATCCGACTCGACGGGTGGGTCGGTCGTTCATAGTCGGATCTTTATATTCAAAGCGTTGTCTACAATGGGCAGTAGCAGTACGTTTAGAAGAAGTAAGAATAAGAAATTGACCAATCATGTTCGAATGTAAGGGGAATAATCGACTGTGATTGGTTAATTTCTTACTCTTGCTTCTTGTAAACATACTCCTACCACCCGTTGTAGACAACGTTTAAGATCGTCTTAAACTTATCTTCAGATGCTCTACGACTTATTTCATTGGCTACGAAGAATCTGAAGATTGACAACTTAAGCCGCTCTTAAATATAAGATCTGACTGTAATATCGGCCATAGAGTAGTATTTAATTGACCAATTGAGATAGAAAGCGCAAAGATTTCTTTGTCACGATTGGTTAATAAATGTTATTCTGATCCGTTAAGTAGGATTTCTAAGCGTACTCCCACAGGGTCAATCGTAAATCTTCTCTTCTGGCGTGAATACGTGATGATTTTCCAACTTGAGAGCATGTAAAAGAAATTCTCACTTTTCACGAGTTTACATTCGGAAAAAAGATTTATGATCTGCTACCAGGTGGCGGCGATATCTTTGTCACTAGCGAAGAGAATGTTCTGTTGGGATTGGACACAGATCAATATATTTGCCTTAATAAAACCCGTAGCAGACTATGGCTGGTTTTCATATGGGGCCGATTGTTCCACCTTCGGATAAATTTACCTAACAAATAAATATTCAAAGAATATTTCCATGTGAAAATAAACTACGAGAATACAAAAAAATTATCGGTATATTGATAATTTTATTAGAGAAATATACGTTTACACGACAAAGTTAATCTGGTTTAGCAACTACCGTAGTTAGCGAACTCTTGCATTTAATTGGAGTATATTTTTAGATCTAAAAGGATGTACCAATCGGATGCAAAAGTTTATTAATTACTATGAAAAATGTTTATTACTAAATCAGATTAACGTTGCCGTGTAAACGTATAGTCACAAACACCGCTTTAAATAGCTGCATTCAGCAGAGAAGCAGCTTTGCGACTTTGGTAAAATTCGTGAATCTGATTGGCATATGCTCTTAGATTCAACCAAGATTACGAAGCATACGCCAATCAGATTCAGGAATCTTACATAGTTACAAAGCTGTTTTCTCTGCGCCGAACGTAGCCGATACAAGCCCGCTCATGAATACCGCGCCTTAATTCAGGATGAATCGTTGTTCCCGGGTGTATCATCGACGAGCTAGATGGCGCGATGTTTGCGAGACAATTATGCGGTCTCCCACCCCAACGTCCTCAAGCAAGACAACCTCGTGGTGGATTAGATTCTGGTCGGCCATTTCGCATTGAATGTCTGTGTTACACAAGGGCTCAGGAGTAGCCGTGAAACTTTCGAAGAATCCTCGTTGCTGTGAGGATACAGAGGCATCATGGAGAACGAATACACCGTTACGGTCACCAACAAGTTCTTCTTGGCCCTCAACGAGAACGAGGATCCGCTGGATGTGCTGAAGGATCGTGAACAAGAGAAAGAAGCGAAGAAGAAGGAGCGCATCTCGGAGAAGGAGAACAAGAGCAAGCAACAGCAGCAGCAACAGCAACAGCAGCAGCAGCAACAGCAGGACGGACAAAAGACCGCCAACAACAAGACGCCGAAGAACCGTGTGGTCAAGGATGCCCAGCAGCTGCCGTCCAAGGTGCAGGATGCCAAGAAGGATCAAGGTTAGTACCCGGCCATTTCGGCCAGTACGCGACTCAGCCTCGTGTTGAGGGGGTATTATGGCCGTCGACCCGCTCCCTCGCGGACCCATGTGCTCGCCGACCGTACGCTCGCTCTTCCCGCCGGTCCGCTCGCACCGCTCGCTCCCGTTCGCGCGTGTTCCCATCGATTTTCGCCACCGGCGAGACCCGCGCTGTGCGAGCCGACGTGCCGCGCGAAAGTCCCCGACACACGAGAAAGAGATCGCCGTTCCGCCGCCTCTCGCACGCTCTTCGGGGGTTTTCTAAAAATGATTCGCGCCTTTAAAAATAGGACTCTTCACGTGGCGGTCCCGCGACGGTGACTACCCGAGGCCTCGATACGGGAACGGCGGGGTGGTACGGTTAGAGACGCAAATTGTGCGCGGATAATAGAGGCTTCTCACAAGTAGCGATCGCATGACTTTTCCCCGGGGAGCCTATTCCGAACACACAGAGAATGCAAGATAAGAATGCCCTTTTAATTCCAAAAAGCCTGTTTTTTTTTTATTGTGTGAATATCAGCAAGTATAAACGTTGTGTCAATTTGGGAATCAGAAAGGCATACTTGGTATTCGACATGTGTCTAGAGTAAGACGTCAGGAACGAAGATGTGAAAAGCAAGAAATTTCGTCTAAAAAGTTATATACTTCCATTGTCCGAGAATTTGACACCGAAATCGTCAAGTTTACGTCAAATCAACTTTCACTTTTCATGTTCCCGCTTCTGAGAAAAAAATTGTACGATCGCTACCCTGTAGATAAGTTTGTTGTACGCCAGGTATAATTTCCGGCTTGGTCCTTTGTGAATCTTTCTTACAAATTTTGTGAAATTGATTCGTCTCGGGTGAATCATGAAAAGTAGAAAAACAACTCGAAACAGGTACTTCTCAGCGAGCCTTCCCTTTGCATTTATTTCTTTTAAGCTTATCAGTTCCTGAAAGGAAATCCTTATCTCTTTAATGCTCGATTGTAAGATTTTAGTTAAATGTTGTACTGACACTTTGTTTTTTTCCCTCTTCAACACTAGGTTGTACGTTTGTTTAGTTTCAAAGATGGGAGTGCAATTTAAGGCCCGTTGTTTTTCGCTGAACTGGCTGCTAACTTATATTAGTTTTCTTCTTTGTTTCACCAAATCTTAACTGTATACTTGTATTTTTTTCAAATTCTATAAGTGCACACTAGTTCAGCAAAAAACAAACAGACCTTTCTAACTCTCTTGTGAATGCACAGGTACCTAGTAACCATGTTAAATTATTCATGTTAAAGTATAGAGCAGTACATAAAGGATCTTTGATGCTCAGGGATTCTCTAAATTTCGATAGAAAATATTAATTCGAGACTTCGCAACTGCTATAACTTTGTTCCCCCGGTGCATTGTTGAAAAAGTGACAGATTATATGTTGACAGAAAGGTTGAATGTGTGAAGGATCAAGCAGTCTAAAATATCAGTTTGTTGGACAGCTTGTCTGACTTTTGTGAGATCTTGGAAACGTGCAGTCGTATAGAGATATTCAATTCACATGTTTAAAACTTGTTTTCATATATAAAATTCGACATCGGATAAATATTTACTATATAACAACATTGAATATATAAGCAAGTGGTGTAGGTGTAAACAATGAAGTGCAGATTCGCACAAGTATATGCGCTTAATCTTCTAATGATAAAGTTGGGGTCGTATCCGATTCCTGTTTCGTTCGTTTTTTATTTATAATTAATGCACAAAAATAAAAATAAATAATGAAACTTCTTCCTCTATTTGTAAGTTAAAAATATACAATAAATTTTACTAACTGATTTTAAATAATTGCAGTAAAACAATTTGAAAAACGCTTCGATGTTCTGAGAATCCACCTTGCCATTAGAGGGTGTCTTTTTTTTGTCAATCTCCTCAAGATCGCACTGGGATATTCTGGATGTGAAGTGCATCGATATTATATGTTTGGCAATTTTCTATTTTCATCTATTAATATCGAAACCAGAATATACCAGCACACATAATGCTTATGTGTGACATGATGCAATTTTATCAGAGAAATATACACATTAATCTATTCTTAATCTATAATTCTATTTGAAAGTACAAATTTTACAAATTCACGTGCTTTATATTGATATTTTTAGTAGACAAGAAACCCTCCCAGCCAAGAGTGAGCGGTGGTGACCGGAATGTGAAGTTCTCCGGCGAGTCCAGGGAGGAGCGCAATAACAGACGTAATCGCGAGGATGGTGAGAGAAATCTCCGAGGACAGGGGGAGTTCAGGCGAGGAGGACCTCCTGGGTTAGTTTCCGCGAAACAAGCAACAAATGTTATACGGTACAGTCTTGATGTTTCGACCTTTTATTTTCCAAGTATCTCGTGTAAATGCAACACACGAGAGAAGTTAAAAAAAAGCGATTAATTTTTTTTTTTTCTCCCAGCTGCTGATTACTTACCGTTATTATTTCGGAATTTTTTAGGAAACCGAGTACGATTCGCGGTAGAGTCTATTATAATAGCTTTTTTTATAGCGAGGGCCGTGAGACGCGCGAATTCCGGAATTCTAATACCGACGCTCAGCGTGGTGAATACGGCGAACGCCGTGGTCGCGGAGGTATGCGTGGTATGAGTCGCGGACGCGGAGGCCCTCGTGGACGTGGCGGTTATGATAATCGTGGCAAGCGGGAGTTTGATCGCCAGTCTGGCTCTGATAAGACGTAAGTATCTGAACATGCACTATGTTACAGCCCGTGAATAAATTGTCCCTGAGTTTGCTTAGAAATCACGCGAACTTTTCATGAAACCAATAATTCCTTGAAGAATATCTGGTGTCACAGTAAATGCCATTTCTTAACGCTTTAACGTTATCCCTATAACCCGAATATGTGCCTAATAATGACTTGTTGAATAGTTTTTAAAATCACGTTAAATAGTCACATTGAACATGCACAGACAAACAGAAGTAGTAGTCCCGGTAGAAGCACGAGCAATTATGTGTGTATATGTGTGTGCGTGTGTATCAAACTGTTATACTGTCAGTTTTGTCAAACTGTTACATTGCGCACTTTAATAATGGTTTTGACTAACACATCGTCACTCATTACGTACATAAAATGTAGTTTATTTGTCCATTAATAGTGGCATTAAACCAGTGGATAAAAAAGACGGTGCTGGCAGCCACAATTGGGGCACCCATAATGATGAAATAGAGTAAGTTACTCAAAGTACTTACCGTCTCTTTTTTGTTTTTTTTTTTCTCTCCTATCTAGATCGAGCTTTGTCTGTAGCAAGAATAGTCGGTCGTTCCTATTCTTCTACGGGAATCGGAAGAAACGTTTATCCTCGACGTTGACTCTCTACTGTCTCTTTCTTATTGTAGAGAAAGCCTTAACCAAGAAAGCCAAGATTGGAACAATGACAAGCCGGAGTCCGAGGCAACCCCGGGGACAACCGAGGTTAAGAACGGTGACGCTACCGCGGACACCGGAACTGTCGAGGAGAAACCGGTCGAGGAGGAATCGCGCGAACTCACTTTAGATGAGTGGAAGGCGCTGCGAAACAACCGAGTGAAGCCGCAGTTCAATGTGCGGAAGGCCGGCGAAGGTGAGGATCTGTCGCGCTGGAAGAAGATGTACGCGCTCGAGAGGAAGAAGGAGGGCGCTGACGACGAAGATGAGGAGGAAGAGGAGTACGACGCGGCCGTGGAGTATCCTCAGCGCGTCGGCAGGCAAAAGCGCGTGTTAGGCATTGAGATCCAGTTCAGTGATTCGCGACGTGGTTCTGGCGGTCGCGGTCGAGGTGGTCGCGGTCGCGGCGGCGATCGTGTGAACGGCCGTGGATATGGAAATCGTGGCACTCCTAGAGACGGGGACTCGCGTGGATCTGTAAGTATACGCGTTACATTGCAAGATTTACGAGAATACCGATTTTTTTTCGCTTATCGTTAACTTAGGTAAAAATGCTATTGCCTGGATACGTACTTAACTCCGGACATTCTTGTTGTTTTCTCTTGAAATACGAATGTTCAAACCTTCGATATAAAATGTATATATATTAAATATATGTATTTTATGTTTAAAGATTAGACATTCATATTTAAAAGCTAAGATAAGAAGAATTAGGTCTATGTGCATTTTTACCTTACTACCGAGATGATAAGAAATTGCGAAATGGCAGCCGAGATAAAAAAGCTTGTGTGTATGCTTTTTAGTTGCAGTCTTCACAAACCGAGCAGAGGTCACCGCGAAGCCGTCAGAATGCTCCTAAGGTGGACGATGAGCATGACTTCCCCTCTTTGGGATAGATAGTTTCGTCTATCTATTCCAGCATCTCAAGATTACCAACGTCAGCACTATGATGCATAAAGTTACACTAACTGAAAAAAAATATTACTCTATTGAGAAACTTGCGTTAGTGCGTAACATTATTATTGCATAATACAGTACACATTTACAGAAAATGAAATACGTAATGATTATAAAGCTCCTTGATTAATGTCAAAATTATATAAAGCAAGCGGGCGCAATAAGAGCCAAATTGCAGATCTAGTTTGCATATATTTGCAATAAATGCTATAAGCGCGACTAAAACTTTATTGGTTAATTTTTAAGTGTATGCGAACGTTTCGGCCGTTACTTGTGATTGTCCTCAGTTGAAGTTGCAATTACAAATAACAACCGGTTATAAGAAACAGTCATGTAACGCATTTAATACAAAGTAGAGATCATATCTTAAAATGTGCATTGTTGTTGGACATGCAAATAATCATACGAAGACAATCGATGAGAGTCTCGAGAATTCTGGAAGCGGTCTACCAATCCTGAGAGAGTATCGAGTACGATTGTTTTCTTGTCACGGTTTGTCACGGTTTCTTAGGACCAATTATTATTTATAATTTTCAATTATAATTTCGGCTGAAGATGATCACAAGAAATGGTCAAAACGTTCCGATATTGAAATATTAGCAAATAGATTATCTGCTTATAGAATTTATTGTGTAAATATACACGTATATATATATAATATATATATATATATAAAGTGGAAATAAATGTAAACCGGATTTGCTTGGCTCTTTTTATCCGCATTTGTTTTATATAATTTTGAAATACGTAATACTATTCTTAAATAAATTGTGACGCTTGAACGCGTTGTTACATATTGCTGCAGAATGGTAAATACGAAAAGTTGCACGACGTATAAACAAAAAAAAATAGGGAAAGATACGATCCTTTTTTTGTACTTGTGGGGGAGTGTTTGTCCGTAACTATTTCAGAGATGGCAGCCAGCGGATAAACAATCTGTGAAAAAAAAGAAAAACATAGTTGAAGTGAAAGTTGTTAATAACATAATGAAGACATAAAAATAGAAAGAATGATATAAAATGATGGGAAAAAAACTACAAAAGAAAGAGTGCGTTAAGGAAACGAGAGATTATGCGGACCAGCGAATGTGAACTGTTGGGGGGAGCATCAACCTCGAAATAATAGTTTCAATCTGCTTAAATCCAACTCGAAGCAATTATTGAAAGAAATAAATTTGCTGTACACAAAAGTAGAAAAGAAACAGGGCTGCGGTATCGATTTCGATTTCGATGTCGCGTCAAGGGCCTAAAGGAGGCTGAACCGCGTAAACCTGTATAAATATCTCTTTTTAGGCGTAAATTTTAAACGCACTTTTGGTTTTATAATTTTTATACGTATTTGGAAATAGTCCTTCCTCGTAACCGGCAGGTCGTTGCTTGCCATGCGTAAGAACTAAGATTTTTAAGGAAGGCATTTCTATTTAAAATCAAGACGCTAGAACGTCTTTTACTACAGATAAGTCTACTTATATAAATATAAAACTATATATATATATATATATATATATATATACTTATACATATATATATAGAAGAAAGAACCGACAACACACAATGCGATATATATTTCTCTTTCAAAAATATGTCTGAAGTGGAAATATCTCGCATAACATTAAAAGCTTTAGATATATGTACATGACACACATGCAACACACATATATACACACAGATATACACACACACGTGCGTATATATATTTACGGTAAATCGGAAACCATCTTAATATGAAAAAAAAAAAAAAAGAACAATGAGTATACACTTATGTTATTATGTTACATTTATTATTGCGTTGTCAATTCTCAGAATCTTAATCATATAAATCCACTAATATTAGTTATTTACTATAATTTGTTACAACACAGTTAAAGATAATCATCCAAAAGAATCACCCCTCCATCATAGATCGAAAAGGGATAACGGAAGGTATAAAGCTGTTTGGAGCTTAGACATATGTGTAAATAACATATTTACAATAATAAATTGTGACAATGATCACAAAGACGCTTTGAACTCGAATAACTTGACCAGTCAGCGGTAAGATTACTGTAGGCAGATTTTGTTTCTTATTCGTGCACACCTGTACAGAAAAGAAAAACGTAAGTACAAAAATATATCTTAAATGCTGCGACGAAAAGAAAAAAAAAGAAGAGAGTAGGAATCGAGTATAAGAATTAACTCCCGTCGAGATGTGTTATGCTAGTAATAAAGTTGTAAGTGTAACATTTCTTTGTAATTTCTTGTGATGCAAATAACAATAACAATCGCTCCTCGCCTGGCCAAATCTGAGACTGGTATGATTGATTCTATTCTCATATTTTTTACATTGCTCGGACGTTTCAATTTTTTTTAAATTCCCGCCAATCATCACGATGGGTACCTTGGCGGCCATTTTAGCCATTTGTTCTCAAGTTCAAGCCGCACAACGTCAAGTGTGATTTTCCAACTTATCGTCCTGTGCGGGTCGCACGTAATTTCTACATCGAACGACTAAAACGGGCACTCGACGGCCACTTCTCGTGCTGTGACGGTATCGAACATAATCATTTTTCACTACTTGTAGATGGAAATTGTTTTTCTGCTGGTACACAAAGTGCTGGCGTTTCACCGCGAGGGGGCGTTTCTTTGTTAGCAAGTGCACTACAAGGTGTTCTCAAAATCGTGTTCCTTGTTGATCCAGACAAAGATTAACAGACAACTTGAATAGTATGATCTTACCGCCAGCGACATATAAACACATGTATTGTATCGCTGATAACACAGTTTCCGTTACTCCAAACTTTAAATCTCCAAAATCCGGAGTATCCTCCGTTTCTCCGAAGTACACATTGAAATAGACCTTTATCTCAACGGAACCAGAATTGGTGTAAATCTAATCTCGCAAATGAGGAAAAAACTTGTCGTTCGACGAGTGAATTTGCGCGACGGAAATATCGTGAGACCCGCACTCTCTCCACCTATCCGATCGAGTCCTCGTACGGCCGAGGGCACGTTCGGAACATTCCGTATATACATAGGTGTACATGCGTAGACACGGGTACATAAGGCGCTGGAAGCGCGAGCGAGATGAATGAGCGTGAGATGGGAAGGTGAGAGAGAGATAGAAAGAGAATGTGTGTATGTGTGAGAGAGAGAGAGAGTGAGATACGTGCTCGGGAAGAGTGAAGTCCGGCTTGTCGGAGAAGGATCCGCGAGCGAGAGTGAGTGAGTGAGTGAGTGCGACGGGGAGAACGGTCGAGAGCGCGAGAGAGGGAGCGAGAGAGAGAGACGGAGCAGCGGCGCATGCCGTAGCCACGGCCCCCGACTCGCTCTAAACTTGTGCGCGGAGAGTAGTGCCCCGTGTCGGTCGAATTTTAATGGCGGCTGATCCCGACTCCACCGTTTGCGGTGTTGTGTTGTGAAGTGACGTTACGACGGCCGGCGCTCGCACGGCGCCGACGTATGGTATCGACGCGGCAGCGGGGCGGCGCGATCGCGTATCATCATCCGGCGGCGATTCCCGGGCGGTGCTGCTGCTGTGCTGTGCGTGCGACGACGACAACGACGGCGGCAGCGGCAGCGGTGGCCACGGCGGCAGCGGCGGTGACAGTGGCGGCGGCGGTGGCGGCCCGTTCGTGGTGGCGACCAGTAGTGGTGCCTGTCTGCGCGAACCGGGACGGATTATTCCCACGATCATCCGCGCGATTATGCCGCACGTTCGCGATGTGCCATAACGACCGCGCTGTGCGACCAGCATTCTCGCAGTGTGCATTCGTCGCAGCGTGCGAGTCCCGCCCGAGACTCCCTTTCGCGCGAGCAAGGTAAATCTTTCTTTCTCTCTTTTTCTCTGTCTCTATCTTTCTCTCTCTCTCTCTCTTCCTTTCTCTCTCTTTCTCTCTCTCTCTATATACTAGTCAGCCCGAGAGGAGCGCGCGGTGGCGGCCCTGGCGCCGCGCGTCTCGTTCGTCCGATGTGCGGTCACTCGAGAGAGCTATTGCGCGTCGCATCGAAGTCGCTCTCTCTCTCCCTTTCTCTCTGTCTGTACGCGCTCGTCGGGTTACTGCTCTCCTTTTTTCCTTTTCTTTTTCTTTCATTCGTCCCTGCCAATTTTTCCACGCGTTCATGCTCGGTTACAGTCGCGATTCGTTCATTCGTTTCGCAGCGGTCGTGTTTTGGTAGGCGGTGTATTGTGACGGGAGATATGTGAAAGGGAGAGAGGGAGAGAGAGAGAGAGAGTGAGGGGGATGTGGAGGAGACGGACGGTGGAAGGTATCCTTGCCTTTGTGCGAAGACAGTGGCCTTAGCTGTCAAGTGCAGCTACGCTCTGGTCACGCTAATGAAGGGCGGTGCGTGCTGTGCGATGCGTGTTGCCCGAAATGCGTGGAGCCATCAGCCATGAGCCTCTCGTCGCGGCGTTGTGCTTCTTTATTGTTAGGAGGTGCTCGGTGAGCCCTTATTTACGTTCTCGATGGTCGCCGACGAGAGAGAGAGAGGGGGAGAGAGAGGAAGAGAGAGAGAGAGAGAGGGGGAGAGAAAGAGAGTGAGAGAATGCGAGAAAGGGGAAAAGAGGGATTCCTCGAACGGAAACGCGACGCCGAGTGTTTCACTCGTGTCGCGCGACAGGCGCGTCTGACATTTTAATTCCGACACAACAGAATTACTCCGTGTGTGATGCTCCGATGCTCGCGAGTGATACACGGCCTTCCCTCGGTGAATCGCCGCGCGAGGGATCGTTTCTGTATCACACTTCTCAAAGTCGTCTTCTGAGAAATTTCACGCAATAGGCCGTATTATTTACTCGAGTTGGTTACTTAATTTTCAAAGTAGCGACGAGAGAGGAGATTAGAGACGTGAATACAGTCTCGAGTAACAATGAGGTTTAACGTGATGAGACTCGTGGAGCAGCGCCGGGATAAATATGCGGGGCCGTGTGTGAGTGCGCGTGTATGTGTGCGCGCGAGGTTTTTGGGCATTTCCAAGTGATTAATCGGTTTGTGACATGTTTCAGGGGTACCGGACAATGATCGACATGTCGGTGCCTGGACTCGAACATAGCTGGTAGTACTGCGTTAACACTGGCTCGCTACCAGCAGGGCACACACCCTGACCGTACCTTTTGCATTTCCTACCCTAGACCTGCATACGCACTGACGCACACGCTAAGCGTGTGCGCACGTGCACTGTCGGCTGCCGCGTACACACCATGAAATTCCTGGGACTTGCGTCATCTCCCAAATCATCCGCAGTGACGTCCCCACAAGCGCTGCTGCCGCTCTACCATCGATTCTCCCTCTCATCCATGTCCATTGCCATATGGTTCCTGGTCATACTGGCAACTGCAGCGATAGACACCCCCGCCAGCACTGTCCCACCGATACAAGACAATAGATCTCCTCATATAGTGGCGCAGTTCCCTACAGGGAATGAACAGCGATACGGACATTTCCCCTTGGACGCCAACACAACGAGGGAGGGGGTGCTGAAGTTCAATCACCTTGCCATAGATCCTTCTACGGGTAGGCTCTATGCAGGGGCGATCAACCGGCTCTTTCAGCTCGACTCGAGCCTCAAGCTGGAAGAATATGTCTCGACAGGTTGGTTCTCCTCTCCTCGGGTTCCTTCGGGTTTCTCAGTGTCGTAACGAGAGCCGAGTGGTAATCGATTTCTTATTTCAGGACCAAGACTGGATAATCCTCAGTGTCATGCAACAGGTTGCATGTCGAGGGAGATAACAACCTCTCTGATGGATAATGTGAACAAACTGCTGATCGCCGATCTCGAGTCGCAGACGATAGTCGCCTGTGGCTCCCTTCTCCAAGGTGCTTGCGAAAAGTACAAAATGTCCAACATATCCATTAAACCGGAATTCATGCCGCTCAGCGTCGCCGCGAACGACGAGAACTCCTCCACGTACGCCTTCATCGGGCCCGAGAAGTACAATCCGTGGGGGCAGACGAACATACTCTACGTCGGCACGACCTTCACCAACAAAGGGGATTACCGTCACGACGTGCCGGCTATCTCCAGCAGGAATCTCGATTCCCTGGAATTCGCCGAGTACACGTTCAACAAGCAGTCGATCGTCTACATCGACGTCAAGTATCGGGATCACTTCCTGGTGAAATACGTGTACGGCTTCAACGCGAGCGACTACGCGTACTTCGTCCTCGTGCAGAAGCAGTCGTACTTGCCCGAGCAAGAGGAGTTGGGCTACATCTCCAGGCTGGCGCGCAGCTGCATAAGCGATCCGAACTACGACAGCTACACGGAGGTGACGCTGCAGTGCACGGTCGACACGGGGGACGGGAAGCAGCACTACTACAACTTGGTGCAGGACGCGAAGGTCGCGGCTGCCGGCAGCGATTTGGCCATGCAGCTCGGCATCTCCGTCGGCGACCCCATATTCGTCTCAGTGTTCTCGCCCAGCAGGGGCATCACCAACGAACCATTGTCGCGCTCGGCGGTCTGCGTCTACAGTCTGCAGGACATCGAGACCAAGTTCAACGAAAACATCCACATGTGTTTCAACGGCAGCATCAAGTACCGGAACATGGGCTACGTCAGTGGCCCTATACAAGATGGGAAGTGCCCGACCGCTGGTGTAAGTAAATGGCGATTAAATTGGTGTAAGCGTAGTAAGTATGTAAGCGTAATCGGATATTTCAGACCGTCTTAAGCTTGTCTTCATATACTGTGTGGTTCATTGAAGCCAATCTGAGGTGTAAAGATAAACTTAAGACGATCTTAAATGTAAGATTTGACTATGAATACCGATCGCGTAAATTCGAGACCAGACCTCTGTCATATCGCTCGTTATTTTCCGCCACACAGACCACAGGGAATATCCTGAACTTCTGCGAGGTCGGGCTCAAGATTTCAGGCGTATCGCCGATCACGGGCCAAGCTATCCTACATTTCCCCGACACGTTTATCACCTCGGTGGCGGTCGCCAACACCGAGAGCCACACCGTGGCGTTCTTCGGCACGAACGACGGTGTCCTCAAGAAGGTTTTATTGTCCGGGACCGAAGCGTTTGTTTACGAGAGCGTCACGATTGACAAGGGACGAAAGTTACTGCCGGACACGCTGATCTCACCCGATGGCGAATATATCTACGTATTGTCTACTTCGAAAATATCGAAAGTCAAAGTGGAACATTGCAGTGGTTACACCAATTGCAGCAGCTGCCTCGACGCGAAGGACCCTTACTGTGGTTGGTGCTCTCTGGAGAAGAGGTAAATGGGATGCATTTTCGGGATATTTGCATTGTTTTACTTTCAAGTTTCATCAAGACGTTAACAGCGTCATTAATATGCTACTGATAAAATAATATAATAGAAGGTTGTCGTAAATTTGGAAAACCGGGAGACTCATGGAAATTTAAATCGATCAGGGAAAACCTGGAGAAAGATATAAAAGAGCCTGGAATTTCCATTGTCGTTTAGAAAATATGGAAAAGCCGGAAGATTTTACAATTATTTTCTGTGGCAATTCTATATAAGATACATAATATATATATATATATATATATGTACATGTATGTACTGGATATAATATATAGTATATAGGAGAATATTACATATTTATAATAATATATATAATAGTATAATCTTTGTCTCACATTACACAGATGTACGGTGAGAGGAGACTGTCAGAAAGCGAGTCACAGCAGCCCGCGATGGCTGTCGTTAGGCACGGGTCAACAGTGCATCGATTTTGAGCAAGTTCTACCCGATCGCATGCCCATTAATCAGATGACTACGGTGCAGTTAACAATTAGAACTCTGCCCGAGTTGCCGGCGGGCGCTAATTACAAATGCGTTTTTGGCAACGCCGAGCCGATAGACGCGCTGATGACCGGCTTCGGACTGTCCTGTCCTACACCACCGGTCATGGAAAGACCCAGCATACCCGAGGGTGTCGATCACGCGCTCGTGCCGTTGTCCGTGCGCTCGAGCGAAACCAACAAGGATTTCGTCTCGCGCAACTTCGCGTTCTTCGATTGTTCGAGGCACACCGTATGCACCGAGTGCGTCAAGTCGCAGTGGGCGTGCAGCTGGTGCGTCTACGACAACAAGTGCACCCACAACACCAGCTGTCAGGGTATTATATCAGGGGAAAATGTAAGTGTTGTACGAATCTATTTAATTCGACGCGAAATTTCTATCTTTTCACATAATTAAGTCACATTTTATTTACATAAATCACGAATCTATTCACATAAACGCAATATTGAACATAAAGTGTCGCGTACGAATTTAGTTTTATTATCATTGCTATTATTATCGAAGCGGTGTTTCTATAATGAAAATTTAAGGCGTAAGACTTAAGTTTTAAAGGGTCGTCTACAGTAACAGTAAAATATGCAGTAAGACGTGAGCTGATAGACCAATTGGATTCATACAAAAATAAATCAACTGTGATTGGTCAATTAGCTTACCGCATACTTTACAGCTACTGTAGACGGTCCTTAAACTTTAAGCCGTAAGAAATTTGACTAATCACAGTCAAATATGAGAAGAATAATCGATTGTGATTAGTTAATTTCTTACCGTTTAAGGGTTAGGAACTCAGTCTTACGCTTCAAATGTTCACTGTAGACGCCGCTTAAAACGTTATTAAGGGATAAAACTTCCAAACATAAAGATTACAAGTACGTTTATATTTATAAAAATATGATGTCCGTATTTTTTTTTTAAAGAAATGACATACACATTTGTAGGACACAATTGTCTCATATACACACACAAATAAGAACGTAAACAATTAAATATCAATGACGACGTTTTTGCCACAATTATACGATAACGAGTGTTCCTCTTTTTCCAGCAAAATCAAGCCAATCTAGCTGCACACGGCGCGCAGTACTGTCCGCGCTTCATGGAGCGCAAGGAGTCACTGATGTTACCGAACAGCGTGCCCAAGGAGATCGTGCTCGAGGTGGAGAACCTGCCGCATCCGCAGGTAGGCCACAGCGGGTTCCAGTGCATCGTCAGCATCGAGGGCGCCAATCTGAAGGTGCAAGCGCGCGTGGACAGCAGCCGCTTCATAGTGTGCGACAAGACCGTCTACTCGTACGAGGCGGTCACCGGGGAGTACGAGGCCGAGGTGACGGTCGTCTGGAACACTAATCACCACGTGGACAAGACGACGATCACTCTGTACAAGTGCGAGGTGCTCGGCTCGCATCGCGAGCACGCGGACTGTTCCCTGTGCGTGACGCGGGACGCTCGTTTCGAGTGCACTTGGTGCGGGAACAGTTGCGTGTACAGGCACTCGTGCCTGCAGTCGCCGTTCGCCGAGTGCCCGAAGCCCAGGATAGACATGATCAAGCCTCTGAGCGGGCCGATCGAGGGCGGCACGCTGGTGACGATCGAGGGCAGTAACCTCGGGCTGAAGGAGAACGACGTGGACGGTAAGATACACATCGGCAACACACCATGCACCTTGGTGGACTACGAGGTGTCGGTGCGCATAGTCTGTCGCACCGGCCGGCACGAGGCCACGGACGCGGCCTCCGTCGTCGTCGGAAATGACGCCGGCTACACGGAAAGCGCGGTGCTGTTCAACTACAAGGACATACGTCTATCGGGGGTGCATCCGTCGGTCGGGCCGCAAAGCGGCGGCACGCAATTGGCCATCACCGGTAAGTACTTGAACATCGGCAGCACCATCTCGGCGTACCTGGACGAGTTGCCGTGCCACGTGAACGCGACCCAGGCGAGCAGCACGAGGCTGACCTGCGTGACCAGCAAGTCGGGCCACGTTAGGCGGATTCACCGGCTAACCCTGAGCATCGACGGCGCGAACCGCACCCTCGTGGGCAACCCGTACAATTACACCCACGACCCGACCATCATGGAGATCAAGCCGTTGCGAAGCTTCGCCTCGGGCGGCCGCATGATCACCGTGCACGGCACGAACCTGGACACCATCCTGAAGCCGGAGATGGAGGTTTACTTCGACAACGAGCCGTTGCCGGTGAACAGGACCGTCTGCGCCGTCTTGAATCCGACGCAAATGGAGTGCCCGAGCCCGAGCGTCGCCAAGAGGTTCACGTCGATCCGGCGCAGCGAGCGTTCGGTGGTCAACACCCAGGCGCCCCAGTCGTTGAGGCTGAAGGAGTCCCAGCTGTCTCTCAAGATCGCCTTCATCATGGACAACGTGGAGAGCGTGCGCGACCTGGAGAAGCACTTCCAGAGCCTGCGCAACCGGCTGCTCTACGTGGACGATCCAAAGTTCTTCCCGTTTCCGCGCAGCATCAAGCTGTACAAGGGCGACACCTTGGTGATCGAGGGCGAGAATCTGAATTACGCGAGCGACGAGTCCGACGTGAACGTCACCGTCGGCGCCATGCCCTGCAACGTCACCTCGCTCGCGCTCACGCAGCTCGTGTGCACGCCGCCGGACCAGCAGCCCGCCGACACGGACGAGCTCGGGATCAAGACCGAGAGCGGATTGCCGTTGGTGGTGGTGCGGGTCGGCCGCAGCCTGCGTTTCCCCATCGGCTACCTGCGCTACGAGGTCATCAAGTCCTACCCGATCCCGCCGGAAGCGATCGCGGGCATCGCCGCCGGCACCTTCGGCCTCATATTCCTCTTCGTGCTGGTGCTGGTGATCTACCGGCGGAAGAGCACCCAGGCGGAGCGGGAGTACAAGCGGATACAGATACAGATGGACACGCTCGAGAGCAACGTGCGGATGGAGTGCAAGCAGGCGTTCGCGGAGCTGCAGACCGACATGACCGACCTGACAGCGGACCTGGAGTCGTCCGGCATACCCACCCTGGACCACAAGAGCTACATCATGAAGGTCTTTTTCCCCGGCGTGATAGACCACCCGATACTGAACGACCCGCGCTCGCGCAGCAACGTCTCGCGGACTAACTACGACGCGGCGATGATACAGTTCGAGCAGCTCGTCAACAACAAGTATTTCGTGCTGACCTTCATCGAGACCTTGGAGGCGCAGAAGGACTTTAACATCAGGGACAAGGTGAACGTCGCCTCCTTACTCATGGTCGTTCTGATGGGTAAGATGGAGTACGCCACCGACATACTCATGAATCTCTTGCTGAGACTGATCGACAAAGCGGTGAACACGAAGCACCCGCAGCTCATGCTGAGGAGAACGGAATCCGTGGTGGAGAAGATGCTGACGAATTGGATGGCGCTCTGCATGTACAACTACCTGAAGGATTACGCCGGTTCGTCGCTATTCCTACTGTTCAAGGCGATCAAGCATCAGATAGAGAAGGGGCCGGTGGACGTGATAACGCACGACGCCAGATACTCGCTCTCGGAGGAGAGGCTCCTGCGGGAGCAGATCGAGCACACGATCGTCACGCTGCACGTCGTGCAGGACGATCTCGACGAGAAGATACAGTGCAAGGTCCTAGATTGTGATACGATTAGCCAGGTGAAGTCGAAAATCCTCGACGCGCTGTACAAGAATACCCCGTTTTCGGTCAGGCCGTCCGTACACGACGTCGATCTGGAGTGGAGGCACGGTCGGGGCGGTCACCTGACTCTGCAGGACGAGGACCTCACGACCAAGTGCTGCGGCGAGTGGAAGAAGATCAACACGTTGGCGCATTACGGCGTGAAGGAGTCCGCGGTGATGTCGCTGATACCCCGGCAGAACGACGGCTTCTCCGTCGCCTGCAAGCCGCCCTGCCACAACTGCAAGCCCTCGCATTATCATCACCAGCAGCAACAGCAGCAGCAGCCGGTCCACCACCATCACCCGCACCACCATCACCTACATCGACACTCGAATCACTGTTCGTCCACGCATCTTCCATCCACGCCCAATCACGGCTTGATCAGTCCTGTGATGTACAATCATCCCGTGAGCGGCCTGTATTACGACTCCCAGCACTCGCCGCCGATCATCACGGCGAACGGCGACGTCGAGAGCGGTCACGGCGGCAATCAGCGATTGTACCACTTGGTAAGGCCGATCGAGGAGGTGCACTACCCGCCTGGCTTGGGCTTCACCGGTAGCAGCAAGCATCATCATCATCCCGAGCGTACGCACAAGGCGATCCCGGAGATCTTTCTCACGCGACTGCTCTCGACGAAGGGCACCGTGCAGAAGTTCGTCGACGATTTCTTGAACACCATACTGACCGCCAACGAGGCGCTGCCGAGCGCGGTAAAGTGGCTGTTCGATCTCCTGGACGAGGCGGCGAAGCAGCAGGGCATCGTCGACCCGGAGGTGCCGCACGCCTGGAAGTCCAACAGCCTGCCGCTACGGTTCTGGGTTAACTTCATCAAGAACCCGGACTTCATGTTCGACATCAACAAGTCCACCACGGTAGACTCGAGTCTGTCCGTGATCGCGCAGACCTTCATGGACTCGTGCTCGATGACGGAACACAGACTCGGCAAGGACTCGCCGTCTAACAAGCTGCTCTTCGCCAAGGACATTCCGCATTATCGCGAGAAAGTCGGCCGATTCTACACGGACGTGCAGAGACTGCCGCAGATCACCGATCAGGAAATGTCCAGTGCCATGCAGCAGTTGAGCGCGTCCCACGCCAACGAGTTCGACGTAATCGCGGCGCTGAAGGAGCTCTACATCTATGTCAGCAAGTATTACGAACAAGTGAGTCGTCCATTTGTCTCTTCCTCACTTCCCTCCCCCCGGGCGGAGATTTTGGGAGCGTCCTTTCAATTTTCTCTCTGCACGCTTACGAACCACCAGGGTGTCTACCAGCTGGAACAATTCTCGGGGAATGTGTTTGTTTACGGAAAAATCAATTTTATTGGAAATCAGAGAATTTTTAACGATGCGCAATTATCGCGTATTATCGCGTTATTTATAGACAAATATTTAATCCCCCCCCCCCCGAACTAGGTTGTACATTTATTGTTAGAATGAGACAAACATATAACTTAGCGCTGAAGAGGAATATTAATTTTATTTTATCAATTATTTTGTTAGTAACTTTTGAAAATAAAATTTGAAAATTTTAATGTGCAATATAAAATATTTATTCTTTAGAATTGTTACAGTTTTCTCCAAGATATTTTAAATTTAACCAAAAGATCGAGTGATTCCTAATTTTATTTTACGATTGATAAACTTGTATGAGTGGGAAATATAAAGGACTTTACAATAAATATATGTTCATTTGCGAGATATATTTAAAAATACTGTCATCTTATTTGGAATTTTTGACAAATTGCCTGGAAAATCAGAGAATTCTGTGGAAATTTTTTTCAAGTTTGAATAGATACCTTGAAACGGCTCACTAGCCGTACTACGTAATTCAGCAGGTTCATGCAAAAATTCGTCATTTTTGTTTGTCAGTTTTTCTCAGAAACTTCAGTATTTCCACGAGCGCGGGGTCATACAACTATCGGAGATATTATTGTGAAAGATGATGCATACTTAAAATTGATTGTTCGTATTTTTAAATAAATAAATAGTACATGTATATTTTGATCTCAAATTAAATTAACGGGATTAACTTTGCATCGACCTGATAGCTTTAATAAATTGAAGGCCATGTTATTTATTCGAGGCTCTATTGATCGAAAGGTCTTTAAATTGCATCTTTTTATCATAGTTTGAATATTTTATTTTTTCTTTTGATTCTTATTCTTTAGTAGTTAACAAACAAACTAGTTTGCTTCAACGGAAAACCCGTAATTTTTCATTTATTTCTTTTTGTTTAAGGAAAAGATTTCGGATGTCCCAACATCTTGGAAATATATTGCAATGTAGCTTAAGTGGATTCACGTATTGTTTTATATTTTATTTTAAACGTGTTTGAAGAAATATAAAGATTTAATTTATTTTTCCTTGAAAAGTTTTGCAATATTTTTTAAGTATCTAAATATGTATCTAAAACTGAGTCTATATTGTTTTATTAATATTTTAAATTTCATATATCATATAATTTTTTCGTTTTCCCCAACATTCAAATTTTACTCTTTATTGACTCTCACTGTAAAGCCAGTGTTTTAAATCTTTTAGAAGAATGATACGATAGACAATTTAATTTTCAACGTGCAAATTATTTGAAAAGGACTCACTTTTTACTCACTTCTTTCTTTAAATTGAGTCACTCACTATTTTCTTACTTTCTCAAAAAACTCACTTTTCTCGCCAATTTTAACAGCCAAAACGCTCCCATGCTTGTGCTCTGTGTAAACGTCTCTTGATCACCGTAGCGTTAAAATTTTCCATTATCGTCTTACTTCCGTGCACTCTCGAGAGGAATTTTCCCAAAGCTCGTAATAAATTTACCCGTCTATCTATCTTTTTCCCCGCGCATTTTCACGCCACGTCACTTACGCGCGCGAGTTACGACACTTTACCCGTCCTCACGTGAGATTCTTTTCAGATCCTAGAGGCCTTGGAGACAGATGCGGGCTGTCGCAAACTACACCTAGCTCATAGACTAGAAAATGTAGCGTGCACGCTCGAGGGAGAAGAGACCAGTGCCTGCTGACATACCCTCCTCACTTCCATCCCAGGACCCGTCAACCTCTCCAGAAACACTGACTAGTGCCTCCACTTCATGCATCAGATACACCTCGTTACATATGTACAAATATACACATACACACCATGTGAATAACAACGCCGTAAAATACACGCGATTTCGTTAGGGCTAGTCAGGCGATAGGTCACGGGATTAGACAGTCCTCGTGGTTAGTATTTACGTCTTTACGTGTTGGCCATACCGAAATACGCTTGTAAACATGTATGGATATTGGTAGGCAATGTACGCGTCTCTGATCCTTAAATTATCACGCTAGACAAACGCCTGTTGAATCTCTGTCTCTAGAAAACGAAGTATTTATATATATATGTATGTGTGTGTATATAGATAGATACATCTCTATCTATATATCTGTAACGCGAATCTCGCTACTAAAGTGGAGTGAATCTCGAACGTAGGGTATCTCGCGGACGATTTATTGTTATCGTAGTGTAAGTAAGCTATTAAGTTGTCTTGTAGGTATTAAATTATTTCGATTCTCTCTCTCTCTCTCTCTCTCTCTCTCTCTCTCTCGCGCTACGTTCTTACTTCTCTTCTTCTATTATCACGACGTTGTTTGCGTGTACAACGTCGTCGCGTTTCTTTGTCGAGTCTTGTTTGAGGATCTGAGACGTGGATCGGTGCAAATACTTATTAGGGAAGAAATTTAAAGTGTAAATTTTACGGCCGATCTGATATCTATACGTGTGTACGTAAATACGGAGGATACATGCATAAAGTAAAAAGTAACATGTCTCTAATGGTAAGTGAAAGAAAAAAGAAAAAAGCCATAGTGTCCACCAGACTGTCTGTACGGGCAACGTACGGCAGCGAGTAGTCTGTGATCCGAGCACGAGTGGCTATGCCTACTATCTTCATTATGATATATATATATATATATATATAATTATTAATATGTTATATATATATACATGAAAAAAAAGTATATATAAAGCAAAGAATCATGCAACACACCTCCACGGATTGTAGTGAGCTAGTTAGAGAGGGACTATATATGTATTATAAGTTGGGTAGGGGGGAGGGGGCTCCGCGCACCCTCTTCAGAGACAGAGTAAGAGATAATATTAAATTAAGGCAATTAAGAGTAACGTTGGGAGAAAATTTAAGAGTTAAAAGAAATTATAAGAGCAGCTCAGTCTACTCTAGGCCTATCTACGTATGTCGTGTGTATGCTCGTAAGGAAATTACTACGCTACATAAGGAAATTACTTCTCCTTATTTTTTTTTTTTATTTTTTATCCTTTACATCTCGCTTCTCTCTGAGTCTCTCTATATCCGCTATACACAGTAGTTTACGAAATGCTGTTGCTATTACATTAGAGGAGCCACTTTGTGGAGCATTTAATAACTTTGTGCAGCATCTAATACCTTTGTCTTCGTATTATACGCATTATTATTATTATTATTATTATTATTATTATTATATTACGTTATCACACCGGTTATTATTATTATTATTTCTATTGTCTATATACATATAATTATTATTAATACTGCCTATTGATTATGGTTATTACTATGTTGTTAGAAGTAAACGCAGAATGGATCTTTTTTTTTGCCGGCGCGAGAATATTATAGACTGTTCGGATTACGCTGAAGAAAGGGGAGCGATGACGAGTTTCGTATATTCGTCGAGGTATATTCTGGCCGAAATTTGTGTGCTATTATTATTATTAATAATATTAATAATGCAATAGGTAATAATTGCAATAGGTAGTACGCAGACACTCGTCGTGGCACAACGACACGCAGTATTCCTTGAAGTAACTTATGTACTTTTAGTTAACATAAGACTGGCGGAACTTTTTTTTTTATAACTCGCATTTATATTTTTTTCCCCTTTTTTTTTTTCTTTTACGAACAAGACGTTGGCAACTTATTTACGTTGCATAAGACCGACGAAGAAATTCGTGAACGTTTATATTTGGCACGCACTGCCAAGATTTTTCCGTGCATTTTTACGAGCTGTAGATCCGTTGAGTCAATAGACTCCGCTCGTCGTTCAATTGAGAGGTGACTGCCGATGAGAATGGATGAATTATTTGACGTAGGTCCAGGGAGGCTGGAGACGTGCTCATACTCTTGTACTTAATGCTAAACGCTACATCGTGTTATTTCAATTATAATTCCAGGTCTCCAGGCTCCCGAATCACGATCAGTAACCTATGTATCTCTCTCTTTCTCTTTCTCTCTCTTTCTCTCTCTCTCTCTCTCTCTGTCTCTCTATTGTATGTATATCGTATTTATTTATATTACGAGGAACAAACTGTAACGCGAATGTACGTCAATCTGTGCTGCGTAAAAAGTTTTTACACTCTGTCATGTATACGTCTTTGTATCGAATTGTATAAATATCTCTTTGTATGTATGTTGTTTTCGTGCAAGTATGTCTCTCGGTATATGTGCCATCTGTCTCGACGCGGTGGGAGATTTGTTCGCTTTAGTGATTTGAATTCTCAAAATAGACGCGCGGACGCGCGATACAGTTCCTTTCTATTGTCGGTTTCTCACGTCGATCGATATTTAACGCAATTGTCGCGCCGCGCGAGTTACGTCTCTCACCTGAGTGTATACCGCGTATTTTTCGCGAGCAATAACGTAACTCGAGTCATTTTGAATAACTCTTGAATCTCTCGCAATATATGTCACAAAAATACATACATACACATATATATATATGAGATATACATAACACATGGTGTGTTTCATGGTACTAATTTATACATATTATTTATACGTGTATTTATATATATATATATGTATTACATACCCGTATGTGTGTGTATACATCTATATCATATATATGCGAATAATACATATGTATGAACTGATAGCATGAAACCCGAAACCGCATGTCTCTCCGGAACGACCGAAATACCAACTTCCGCCTCGGTGTCGTCGGTTAACGGCTTATCGTGAAACGGAGAGGTCCGCCCGAATAGTTGGCAATGCGTCAAGTGTTATCAATTCTTCAATTAAATCTCTTCGATACAGGGCAGAACTTGCCTCTCTTATAGAGCGAACAAATTGAATACCGCTTGATACAGTCTTCCCTGAATGAGATTAATCGAGAATTTCGTTGGTAACAGGACTTTCATATTGATTATTACTGCGACACTTTGTATGTATTTTTTTTTTATACGTGTGAACTTTTTACACGCGCACAACCTCTCGTTCTCGCAAAGGCGCACCGCGTTTTTTCGTCCACGAATTCTCGATACTCTGACTCGTACATAACAATACTTATGTATATATCTTATCCGCAAGATATACAATTATATTTCCGAGATTCGGTGTGTGTGTGTGTGTACGAAAAGGGAAAAAAAGCCGAAGCACACTCGCAATGAAGCTTTCCATAACGAATTTCGAAATCCGAGAATGTCCGAATGTCGAAAATCGAAATTCGCGTACAGGATAACGAAAGTATTATCATATCTGCGTGTAATCGCGTGGCGATGAACGAGACAAGGATAGTAAATGCAGTCCTGTCTCGCTCGTCCTGTGTTGAAAGTATACACCTCCCCGGTTCTTTTTACAACGCTCTAACGATGTAAGTTATGCGACGCATTCTTATTTAATAAAGACGGAAATGTATGAGAGATAAACGTGTACAGGTGTAAGCATGTGTAGCGCATGAAAGAAAGGGAGAAAGAAAGAAAGAACGAAAGACAGAATGAAAGAAAGAAAGAAGAAAATCATCGCAGCCGCGACGAGCGATCGGTAATCGCGACTCGTGACGTCGCAAACGACTCAATCGACACAAGCACTGCCGTTATTGTTGTTTCAGAACTTGTGAAGAGAATACAACGATAGATAAATTGTCCTAGCACTGAGTCCTACAACACTCGAGACAACAAACGTCCTTTCGTGAGTTCAAAGTATAAACTGAATATAGAAGTACCTCGCGCACACCTTGATTTTCTCTTTTTATTGTCACTGCCATGTTTCGCATTTAAAAAGCCAGAGGCCATCACCGAGCCATTAAATTGTTGCAACAAGCGTTTTTAATATACAGAATAGATACTTTGTACGTTTCTTCCCCCCCCTCCCCGCGGAATATAGAATGAGAGGGGAGAAAAAGAAAGAGAAACTTTATGAAACGGCCGTTATACGTAAAAAAAGCTATACATATATAAATATAAATATATAAATATATATATTTAACTTTATCTCTCTCTCTCTCTCTCTCTCTCGTGTTCTATTCGCACGTTTGTCGCGCTGAGATGCGATCGTCTGTAACTCGTAAGTTTCGTGCATACGACACATTATGTATGTATAACTAAAGTAAAAGCCAGAGAGAGAGAGGAGAACTCAAGAGCGGGGCGCGTTTTTAGCGCGAAATGTGCGGCGAGAATACGGTCGTAATAACGTTTCTTACGTCTGAACAATTACACCTTACCGTACAGATTGACGTACATATGGAATCACGCACGTGCGCACATATTCATAAACATATATATATATATATATATATATATATATATAT